TGCATATTTTTGGATTGTCAGAAAGCCTTTGATACAGTGCCACACAAGAGGCTAGTGCGAAAGTTGGAGACGCAGGCTGGAATGAAAGGGAAGGTACTCCGGTGGATAGAGGAGTACCTAAGCAACAGGAGACAACGAGTCTGTGTGAGGGGTGAGGCGAGACGTTACAAGTGGAGTCCCGCAGGGGTCAGTCCTTGGACCTATACTGTTTCTGGTATATGTAAATGATCTCCCAGAGGGTATAGATTCGTTCCTCTCAATGTTTGCCGACGATGCAAAAATTATGAGGAGGATTGAAACAGAGGATGATAGTAGGAGGCTACAAGATGACCTAGATAGACTGAGTGAATGGTCCAACAAATGGCTGTTGAAGTTCAACCCGAGTAAATGCAAAGTAATGAAACTAGGCAGTGGAAACAGGAGGCCAGACACAGGATACAGAATAGGAGATGAAGTACTTAATGAAACAGATAGAGAGAAAGATCTAGGAGTTGATATCACACCAAACCTGTCTCCTGAAGCCCACATAAAGAGAATAACGTCTGCGGCATATGCGAGGCTGGCTAACATCAGAACGGCGTTCAGGAACCTGTGTAAGGAATCATTCAGAATTTTGTACACAACATATGTAAGACCATTCCTGGAGTATGCGGCCCCAGCATGGAACCCGTACCTTGTCAAGCACAAGACGAAGCTGGAAAAAGTCCAAAGGTATGCTACTAGACTAGTCCCAGAACTAAGAGGCATGAGTTATGAGGAAAGGCTGCGGGAAATGCCCCTTACGACACTGGAAGACAGAACAGTAAGGGGAGACATGATCACAACCTACAAAATCCTCAGGGGAATCAACCGGGTAAACAAGGATGAACTTTTCAACACTGGAGGGGCGCGAACAAGGGGACACAGGTGGAAGCTGAGTATCCAAATGAGCCACAGAGACATTAGAAAGAACTTTTTCAGTGTCAGAGTAGTTAGTAAATGGAATGCACTAGGAAGTGATGTGGTGGAGGCTGACTCCATAAACAGTTTCAAATGTAGATATGATAGAGCCCAGTAGGCTCAGGAATCTGTACACCAGTTGATTGACGGTTGAGAGGCGGGACCAAAGAGCCAGAGCTCACCCCCGCAAGCATAATTAGGTGAGTACAATTAGGTGAGTACACACACACACACACACACACACACACACACACACACACACACACACACACACACACACACACACACACACACACACACACACCACACAACTAGTACACACACACACACACACACACACACACACACACACACACACACACACACACACACACACACACACACACACACACACACACACACACACACACACACACACACACACACAGTTTGCAGATGACGCAAAATTAATGAGAAGAGTTGTGACAGACGAGGATTGTAGGATCCTCCAAGAGGACTTAAACAGGCTGCAGAGATGGTCAGGGAAATGGCTACTGGAGTTTAAACACCAGTAAATGTAAAGTTATGGAAATGGGATCAGGTGACAGGAGACCAAAGGGACAGTACACAATGAAGGGGAACAGCCTACCTAGCAGCGTACTCTACACTG